CATCGGTAAAGGCACGGCTGTGGCGTACCTCGAAGAGCTCGACTACTCTCATGACTGTCTTCTAATGCAAGGGGAAGCCACAGCTCAATCACCTCCACATACACCACCAGTTGATATCGGTCCTAGTCTAACACCGACTGAAAGATGCCGTCTTATGGAGCTGCTCGACCAGTTCAAGGACTGCTTCTCATCAACATCACGAGTAGGTCGAACGCCTCTGACTGAACATCGCATAATTACGGAAGACACAGCAAGACCGATCCGACAGAACCCATATCGCGTCGCTCAGAAAGAACGTGAGGTAATCCAGCAGCAAGTCAAGAAGATGCTAGAGGATGACGTTATCCAACCATCAAAGAGTCCTTGGACATCGCCAGTGGAACTCGTGAAAAAGAAAGACGGCAGCTTGCGTTTCTGCATCGATTATCGTAAGCTGAACCATGTTACAAAGAAAGACGTTTATCCATTACCACGGATCGATGACTCTTTGGACAGGCTACGGCATGCGCGCTACTTCTCGTCAATGGACCTTGAAAGTGGATACTGACAAATAGAAGTACATGAGCGCGACCGAGAAAAGACCGCCTTCGTGACGCCAGACGGGCTTTATGAATTCAAAGTCCTCCCTTTCGGTCTATGCTCAGCCCCATCCACGTTTCAGAGACTAACGGATACCATTCTGTCCGGCCTGAAATGGAAAACATGCCTTGTGTACCTCGACGACGTGATCGTTTTTTCGGCCACGTTTGAAGAGCATCTAAAGCGGCTACTGTCAGTCTTTCAAGCCATACGGTCCGCTGGACTCACACTCAAACCGGGAAAATGCCACTTCGGCTTCGAAGAACTCCAGTTCCTGGGACACGTGATCAGTTGCGAAGGTGTGAAGCCTGACCCAGATAAAACAGCAGCCGTCGCAAAGTTCGCAAGGCCTGTTGATAAGAAAGCGGTCAGGCGTTTTCTGGGTCTCTGCGCCTACTACCGGCGATTTATAGCAGGCTTCTCACACATCGCCTCTCCACTCACCCGCCTTACAAGGGAAGACATCGCATTTGTATGGGGTGAAGAGCAAGAAGCTTCATTCTACGAGCTGCGACAGCGTCTACAAACTCCACCTGTCCTCGCTCACTTCGACGAGAATGCACCAACAGACATCCATACAGACGCCAGCAATGTGGGCCTAGGTGCTGTTCTTGTCCAATGCCAAGATGGTGTGGAGAGAGTGGTTGCCTACGCTAGCAGAACGCTGACACGTGCCGAGTCCAACTACTCAACAACAGAGGAGGAGTGTCTGGCCGTCGTTTGGGCAGTTGCGAAGTTCCGCCCGTACTTATATGGCCGCGCTTTCCAAGTCATAAGCGACCATCACTCTCTTTGTTGGTTGACCAACATGAAAGACCCATCTGGACGTTTAGCACGATGGAGCTTACGGCTCTAAGAGTACGACATGGCCGTAGTTTACAAGTTCGGAAGACAACACTTAGACGCCGACTGTTTGTCAAGGTCACCGATTAAATCATCGGCTATAGAGGATGATGAGTTCCCAGGTTTTCTAGGAGTCGTTGATGCAGCTATCATTTCTCGGCAACAACAAGATGATCGGGAGCTCAACTCGCTTATAGAATTCTCGAACGTACGAGCCGCCAATGCACCAAGAGTGTTTTCGAAGAACTTATCGTCATTCTGTTTACGGGACGGAATTCTGTACAAAAAGAACTTTTCATCAACAGGTAGAAGCTATCTGCCGGTAGTTCCTGGAGCTCTCCGCAGCGAAATTTTACAAGCCTGCCATGACGAAGCCACTGCGGGCCACCTCGGTTTCACAAGAACACTGGCACGCATCAAAGAAAAATATTACTGGCCAAGAATCGCAGCAGAGGTTAAACATTACGTCCGAACACGCGTTGACTGTCAGTGGCGCAAGGTACCACCTGTCAAACCCGCTGGGCTATTACATCCTGTGCCCATGCCAGAAACCCTGTTTTCTCAAATCGGAATAGATCTGCTGGACCCATTCCCAACATCGGACAGCGGCAACAAATGGGTTATAGTGGCGACGGACTACCTCACCCGATACGCGGAGACCAAGGCAATCGCGAGTGGCACTGCAGCTGAAGCGGCCCAGTTCTTCATTGAGAACATTGTTCTGAGACATGGTGCTCCAGCTGTCGTCATAACAGACAAAGGTACCGCGTTTACAGCCGAGCTTTTGCGCACTGTGCTTACGCTCAGTGGCACAGCGCATAGGAAGACGACAGCTTACCACCCACAAACGAATGGGCTTACAGAAACACTTAACAAGACAATCGCTGACATGCTTTGCATGTACGTCGACGTAGAACACAATAATTGGGACCGAATATTGCCGTACATCACATTCGCGTATAATACGGCGCGCCAGGAAACAACAAAAATGACGCCGTTCGCACTAATTCATGGCAGAGAAGTTACGACAATGCTTGACGCCATGCTGCCTTACGATTGCAATGACTCAGGGACAGACGCCGCAGACTTCACTGAGCGCGCCGAAGAAGCAAGGCAGCTTGCCCACGTCAGAATAATGAACCAGCAGCAACTTGACGCCCAACGGTACAACCTTCGCATCGATTCGTCATTTATCAATCAGGAGATAGAGTCTGGGTTTGGTTTCTTGTACGACGACGAGGCCTCTCAGAGAAACTCTACGCCGATACTTCGGACCCTACAAGGTTCTGCGCCGTCTTAGCGACGTGACGTACGAAGTCGTGTCCGACGCCTCCTCCTGTTCCAAACGTCGCCAGCATCTGCCTGAGACAGTGCACGTGGCCCGCATGAAACTTTACCACTCTCACTGATGTAAACACTCGATGGCCACATCTCTACCTGTTGAGCGTCGAGACGACGCTCACTCTGGTGGGAGGGTAATGCCGCGTGCATAGCTGCATTTAGCGGCGAGATAGCGACGACAACGAAGAACGCGGATTTGCTCGAGAGGCGCAGCGCAGCAGAGTGAAGAAGACGACAATCTTAGCGGCCTTCTCTGAGAGCGTCTCTACAAGTCCCACTGTCCGTGTTTTTAAATAAACCCCCTGTAATTTATAACCCGCGACAATATAAACTTCACATTTAGTTCTTGATCTGTCCATGTTATATAATAACCTTCGCGCGTGTATTTTCCGTAGCAGGCTGCTCATTTTATATAAATGTGAACAATGTGTGCTATTTATTAAGCCTTGTCGTTGTGCAGCAAAAGAGGGGCGTGCCAGTATATAAAAACGTACGAAAAAACGTACGACACTCACCGCTCTGTATACACCCACTCACAAAGATCTACGGAGGACTCGCTCTCTGGATTTTGTGCCAACCGGTCGTGCCCCCGTGATCTCCGACGACAGTGCAGCTCTGGCCGACTGGCTCTAACTACACCATCTCCTGTCGCCGACAAGAGCTCTTGCTGAGTGGTGCCCCGTCCTCGGACTCTTGCGACCGGGTTCATCTTTCCTATCTTTTTTTTTTACTTCGGATGTCACTGTCCCTCCGCCATGCTCTCTCCTTTCCTCTCTCTACCTCTATACCTTTAATCCTCCCTATCTATTTAATCCCTCCTTACCCCCATCCCTCGTGAGCTACGGTTGAGGTGTCGCACTCTTATGCAGACAGTTATGGGGCTCACTTTCACCTTCTTTTCTCTTATAAGATACACCTAAGAAAGATCTACAGAACAGGGGCTCTACTCTGATTGTGAATTTCTGCTCTTCTATATATTGCACGGTGCTTTCGACCCAGTAAATAGCGGTGTAGGTTGAAAAAACTACTTGGAACATATATTTATAGTATATATGTGTTCAGACAAAGCGGTAATACAGGTTTCTCAGTAATTTGGTGTGCCGAGAGAATTTGTGTGTGGCGAATAGCGTGTACGTATTTTCGTGAGTCGAACGCATCATACATTATATACACAATGTGCACGTCATACTTGTTGTCGTGCGTTTCTTTCTGGTGCCCATGTGCTTTGCCGCCCCACTACCAAGCTTACGAACTTACCCGTACCAAAAAGCCCACGCATCCACCCTTAATGCCGGTTCACAGAGGACACTGGGTCCACTAATTCCTACCTGCGGGCGACTCACTCGCTGGATTCCGTGCTGACCGGTTGTGTCCTCGCGATCTCCGACATCAGCGTAGCTCTGGCCGACTGGGCTCGCCTTATACACGACATCTCCTGACGCCGACATCCGACGACAGTGTAGCTCTGACCGGCTGGACTTGCTCTACGCCATCTCCTGACGCCGACAAGAGCTCTCACAAGTGGTGCACCGTCGTGGGACTCCTGTGACCGTGTTTCCATCTTACCTATCTCTCCTATCCCCTCGATATGTCGTCGCTCTCTGGCTTACCTCATCTTTCTTTCTCTCTTTCTACACCTTTATCTCTATCCTTTTAATCCCTCTTCAACCCCATCTCTTGTGAGCTACTGCTGAGGTGTCGCACCCCGATGCAGACAGTTGCGGGGCTCACTTTTCTCTTCTTTTGCTTCTTATACATAAACACCCCCCCCCCCGCTACCTGTGATTGTCAGCAACGTTGAACTTTCAATGCTGTAACTGCCGCATCTCATAGCTACCACACCACGCTTTCATACACGCCGTTTCAGCATTTCATTACCATGCATGTAACTGTGAACTAATACATACCGTTTGTCTGCTGTTCGGTTTGGTCTCCCTAGCATGAGTCAAACGGGCTCCTATACAAGTGATACCACACCGGAGCGTTTCATTTGCATACGTCATTTTTATAGGCAGCAATTACCTTGATTTTCAGCAAACCTTATTTTTCGTTTTCCTCATTGAGCCCGGATTGTCACGTTTCTGTGAAAAATTCCCACTTTTGTTGTCACTTTACAGCACGTGCTGATTTGGTGTAGGACGCCGGCCTAGACGCTATTGAAAGAACCTTGAAAGTGCTATTTCTTTAAAGAGGACACTGCGCTGCAGTGCACTTCAAAACGCCGCTATTTACTACAGGTGGGATGTGTTCAGCCGCCACGTTCAGCCCAAGCTGGCCAGGCACCCGTGTGGGGATCAAGGCCGCAAACCGGGGCTCGTGTGTCGCGAGGAGATCTGCACTCCCTTCGGCAAGGAGGAGCACGGCGCGGCGTCCGACACCCCAGTGAGACCAATGCATTTCATGGCTTCCGTAGTGAATGCGTGATTTCTCTGTATGGCCTACTGGCTAGCGATTCTTAGAATGATGCATAGGGGGCACATGGGTGCTTAAGATCCACAGAGTTTCATACAATAATACCTAGAGAGGAATCTGGTGCTGCGATCATGTACCTCCATGGGGATTATGGGAAGTACAGGCTTCGGATTGAATCGCTTTAACCAGTGAACTGTCTACGGATCTTTTTCTACAGTTTCAGTTTTGTTCTTCGCGTGGAGTGGGTAGTGTGGTGGATGCAATGGACTGAAGCTGCGCCTTCGTTGCTTAAAGAACTTGAAAACTGCTAGGCCTCTCAAATTACTGCAACGCTAGAGCTGTATAATTCGTGTTTGACAGTTTAAGCCAAGCGTCGTCCACTCACCGATATTACATCGAGTTCACATTTGTTCTTAGTGCGTCTTGCCAAAACTCGTTGAAATCAACAGCAAAACGACGGCGACGCAAAGGAGACGCACCACCACGCTCTGCTGACTCGACTTCACCATAAAACTAGAGGTGCGTTGGGGGCAGACCACTTGAACATGCGCACTTGGCATTGCAGCAGACGAAACGTTAGGTGTTCCTCCCTTATTACTGTGCTGTTACTTTCATAAATAGATATTGCGTACTTTCGAGGGCAAAACAAGAATATTTGTTTTAAAATGTCGTGAAGAATAATTCATTACATCTTGATGCTAAATCTGGAACGCGAAGGCAGAACAATGCATATTCTGGTGGTTAAATTTGTCCAGGCTTCACTTCTACCGCCTAGTCAAAAAAAAGCATTTGCAATAAAGTTTGCATACCGAAAAAAATGAAGCAAGTTTCACTTAGAAATAACTTTATATCACTTTGTTTACACTCAGCAGAAAAGTGTCGCGAGGTTCAAGAACGTGATCCATTTGAAGCAGATTCGAAGTCTGTTCTTCCCGTCATTCCCATGGGGGCACAAGCGCCGCTGAAAGAGCCCGCGTAGACGCTGGCGCCAGATTCCCCTCTGTATTATTGTATGAAACTTTTCGTTAAGATCAATTTAAAATTATCTATGAATTGATTTGAAACTTCTCATCACGATGAGCACGAAAACTTTTCCGCGTGCTTGCAGTCTCCAGGTTCCACATTAGATATTTCATTATGATCGCTGCAAAAACAGAAAATATTTTATATGACTATAAGTATACACCAAATATTCGGATGTTTTGTTGTTGTGGTCCTTGAATCTATAATGCCAATTATTCCACCGTTAATTTGCGAAGTTAATATAGTTTTCAAAACTCAATCCAGCAAACTAAACTCAACCAATGACTTGACACTATCACATGGGTGGCCAACTAACGAGAGTCACGGGTAGAGAAACTTATGCGTCACTCAAGTAGACATACTATTATATTGCCATACTAACCGCGTAAAGACCCAACGGCATGCACGCAATTTTTAAGCAACAGCGACGAGCGACAGGCTTTGCTGCCGCAGAGATGATTCCGCAGCCCTCCCTCGCCACGTCGAGCGTTTCTGAAAGATTAGAAAAAAACACTTGTCGCCCGGAAGCCAGCGTGGCGATTTTTAGCAACATGACTGCACCCCTCATCTTCGCTTCAGGCTGTGTTCCAATTCTTAGACAGCACGTAGACAGTCTACGCAGACTGTTTAGAAAACGTCACCGAGCCCATGCTGTCCGAAAATTGGAACACGTTTAGACAGCTTTTACGCGACGATGCGCCACCTGGCGTCGAGAAAAAAAATCTAAAAAAACAAACGTAATTTCTGGCTTATTTCGTGGTGAAATAAAAAAAGTAAACTTTACTCACATTGAGCGTCTGGGAAAGCGTCTGCTTGTTTGCAGACGCCCATTCTGGCGAGATTTCATCTATCTGAGCGATTCACTTAGCCGCCATCTTGTTTAGACAGCAAAGTAGCCTGCATCGTATTTGTCTGCGATGCGGTCTTCTCGGAGCTGTCTACTTTGCCGGCTACGTGATAATTGAAATGGGACTTAAGATGGCCGTCATCCATTCAGCTGTCTATTTCACCGTCTACGGTGAGCATTGGATCACAGCCTCGTTTGCAATTTGTTCTCGATGCTTTTTATCCACGCGTACTTTGAAGTATGCACGACCACCTTCTTTACATTCGCATCTCACGCGGAGAGTGAGACAGCAGCCGCATTTTGGCGTAAATCTTGTTATCGATGATTTGCTTTGATGCTTCAGTGGTAGCTTGTGACAATTATGGTAGCTGGCTGCAAGGTGAAACCGTCATGCAAAGTTCGTCGTAGCCTCCGCAGCGTATGTGTGCGAGTACTTCTGCCACGCAACAATAATCGTAATCTACTTCGCGTACTTTCCTCGCGTTATCACCAAGAATCCTGTAGTTCGCTGTCACAAACGATGCACGCGTTATCACTGTGACATAGCATTCTTGACAGCGAAGAGGCCAGCCTCAGGTTTTCAAGAAAAGAAACGCAAGCAAGTCTGATGACGATTACATTTGCGAGAAAAAACTATTCGCCAAATACTGCCATTTTCTGTCGCTCCCGCCGAGTGTGGGAAACCTGTCGCAGTTAAGGAACTGTCTACCGTCAGTCACTGATTTTCTGTTTTGTGTCGCAATAAAAATTGCACCTTCGGATGTGTTTAACCTAACAGCGGTTTCTCTAGAAGGTCTGTAAAAATTTTGAAAATAGAATTTTTCTATCTGCGTTCGGTCTGCTTTCATCGCTGGGATGAATGTCCACAACACTGGTCAGTGGAAGCAATGACAATTGTATCGCAGGTGAAAGTCAAAAACTGAAACCACGCGTGGTTTTTGCAGGTTTAATCAAGTTTTCTTCTATTATTAAACCAAAAACAATCGGCAGATCCCACGTGGCTTATGAATCGATGTTACGCGAAGCATGCGGATGCAAAGTGAATACGTTTTAAATTTTTTATTGAACGAGACGTTAGATGTAACGCGCACTATATTGCCACTCACACTTAGTGGGTCGCTGCAAAAGCGGCTCTCAATCTGGAGGAAAGAAGAAGGTCGCGTGCTTCTTATCTGCTTGAGAGCCAGCCACGGCTGACTCATCGTCCTAGAGCTAGCTACTCGGTGGTTTAATACCCCCCTCCCCAGTACTTATGATTCATCGTGACAAACTGGTGGAGGTACTGGGTAGTCTCACGGATGCTGCAGACCCCCCCCCCCCCGGCAGCCGTGATACGAGTACAGTGCCAGTCAATATTCCCGTGCATCGGACCAGCCACCAAATCAGGGTATTGCCTCCGGAAGCCAACAATACTGCTCCCACCACGTCGAAAAATATGACCAGTGCTTCGCTGCAAACTTCGCCAACCGGCACTGGAAGCACAACGTCGAACGGCTATACGTTGGAAAGCCCACGGGCACCAGCGACGTTTTATGGTACAGAGCGCGAGGGCGTTGAGAACTGGTTGGCGAACTTCGAGCGCGTAGCCACCTTGAATCAGTGGGACGGCGCGGGGAAACTTGGTCGTGTCTATTTCTATCTCGAAGACAGGGCACGTACGTGGTATCAAAATCGAAAGGAGCAGCTGACAACGTGGCTTGAATTCTCTCGAAGTCTTCTGCTGACGTATGCCAGCGCTGATCGCCAAGGACGAGCTGAACGAGCTATTCTGGCACACGTCCAGTCGCCAAACGAAACTGTGACCACGAACGTCAAAGACATGACGCGCTTCTTCCAACGGGCCGATTCAAGAATGACAGAGGTCAAGAAGTTGCGTCACTTGATGAGCGGTGTCAAGGACCAGCTTTTTGCCGGCCTCGTGCGAAGCTCTCCGAAGACGGTCGCGGAGTTCTTGTCCGAAGCCATGAAAATGAAAAAAATGCTGCAGCAGCGATCCAACCAATACGACAGGCAAGTCAGTGGCATGTCCACTGCTGACATTTTCACCACCGCTGGAACCAGCAATGAATCTCTACGTGAACTCATCCGTAATATAGTACGTGAAGAGTTGCAAAAGGCTGGTGTAACACCTCATCCTATGGTTAGCTCTATTGCAACTGTGATCAAGGATGAGCTGCACGAGGCTCTCCGGGACACCCTGCCTCCTGATACAGCTGCACCAGCTCCTGCTGAATACCGCCGTGGGACGACCTATGCGGAAGCCCTGAAACGCCCTGCTGCTTCGCCGCAATTGTTCGTTCATCCTGTCCCTGCTGTTTCACACCAGTCATCGCAGCATACACCCTACTACGAAGGCACATATACGCCACCACTCTTGCCCTTTGTCCGTGGCGCTTCTGTCCCCCATCGTTCGGTGCAACCGGTCCAGTACATCGACGATCGGCACACGTCTCCTCGAATGTCTGATGTTTGGCGCACACCCGATCACTGGCCTCTATGCTTTCACTGCGGAGAAGCTGATAATTTGTACCGCCAGTGCCCATATCGCCATCTTGGGTTTCGCGGCTTCTCTGCGTACTCGCCGCCACCCCGTTATACGGCCAGAGACCACGCGACATCGAAAACTACCTTTCTCAGCAGCATGCACTACGTCACCATAACCAAGGCGATTTTCACAAACGCCCCAGCGGTATTCTACCGCTCGATCTCCCAGCCTCTGCCGGGAAAACTAGCCGAAGCGACCTCTGGGGCAGGGTCGCTGAACGTCGAAGTGCTTCATACCTCCCATTGACGCAGAACCGTACCGAAACTGGTCCAATATCACCTGCTGCTGCAAAGGATAGCGGGCTTTCACTCGATAGCAGTGACAATTGATGGTTGGGCAGTTAATGCGTTAGTGGACACCAGCGCAAACTGTTCCATACTGAGCGCGAAACTGACAACGCAGCTGAAGAAAGTAATGAAGCCGTGGCATAACTCGCAGATTCGGACAGCTGGTGGCCATGTCGTTACTCCACTGGACGCCTGCACAACTGGAGTACCGATTCAAGAGTATACATTCGTGGCAAGCTGCCTTGTTCTACGTGAATGCTCCCACGACGTCATTCTGGGAGTTGACTTTCTACAGGAAATGGGAGCTGTC